AAAGAAAGAAAGAAAAAAGGAGTATATTTAGATTCCAGAGGGATTTTGTAACAATAACTAACAGGCACTTTGTATCTTAAAGTGTGTAAATAGCATTCATATGTATTATTATTTGACCCTCCCACACAACTGTAAAGAAAAAAGAGCAAGTGTTCTGATCCTTACTTTACTAACGAGTCTATGGCACAGAAAGGTGAGTGGCAGAGCCAGGAAATGAACCCAAGTTTTAGACTGTAAGTCTCCATCATGCCACTAGTCCGTGGTATTCAGACGGCAGAACAAAAGAATAATAGGGTCCTGCTTATTAAAAAATAAAGCAATATTCCCAGCTAACTTTGGAATTTATAATAGCAGCAGAGTGTGGTATAATAATACTTCTTCAAAACCAGAACTAAAAATCACATAGATACTCACAAAACGTGGGACGGCAATTCAGAAAAAGTTGATTGGATCCAGTTAACCCACTTAGAGTAAGTTTTAGGTCAGAAACAGATGTGTATAAAAGTTGAGCCTCTCAGCTCGGCGCCTGTAGCTCAAGTGGCTAAGGAGCCAGCCACATACACCAGAGCTAGGGGTTTCAAATCTAGCCTGGGCCTGCCAAACAACAATGACAACTACAACCAAAAAATAGCCGGGTGTTATGTTGGGCACCTGTACTCCCAGCTACTTGGGAGGCTGAGGCAAGAGACTCACTTAAGCCCAGGAGTTGGAGTTGGAGTTGGAGTTGGAGGTTGCTGTGAGCTGTGATGTCACAGCACTCTACCCACAGTGGCAGCTTGAGGCTCTGTCTCAAAAAAAAAAAAAAAAGTTGAGCCTCTCAATAAATTGATAATTGAATTTAAGATATATGCACCTTCTATAATACAATTAGTTAATGTAATTTAACTGTTGTGAGTTCCTGAGTCGTAAGCACAGAAGCATCCCGTGTGAGTTGAAAGTTTCTCTGACACTGTGTAGTTTTTAACCGAAAGCCACTCTCCAGCAGGGCCTCAGGTGCTGCAGCAGTTCTGTGGAGTACAGGGCAGAGTCCAAGGCCCATCTGTTTGCTAGGGGTTTTTGTGAAAGTTTATTGTTATCAATGGGGAGAAGACTTTTTTGCTTTCCTTGTCTCAGAATTGTGTTTGCTCAAAGAGCCTTCGTCTTTGGATAGTTAAAGGCATTGTGAGTGATGCTTCTCAACCCAGTATAACAATACAAGTGAGATCTCAGACATTTTGCATGAAGCTTATGGGAATATACAGGCATACTGTAATGTGGTTATCTTGCCAAACGATGATCTGTGGGTTGAATTTTCAATCTTTTACCAAATTTAGGCAGTATTACTTTTCAACAACAAGAAAGCAGATGCCAAAGGTTTCAGGGAGGCTAGATTCTTCTAAACCAAAGAGAGGCACTGCTCAGCCTAGATGCCAGCTGTTCATTGATTTGGGCAACAACTCTGAGTTTCTAAGCAGGTTGGTGATATTCAGACTTGTTTAATTTCAATTTTAGATTTCAGCCGCCGATTACACCCAACGCGGCAACTTTCCAAGAAACCATAGGAGACAGCTTCGGCATTGCCATCGTCGCCTTCGCAGTGGCCTTCTCGGTTGCCAGTGTCTATTCCCTCAAACACGATTATCAGCTTGATGGCAGTCAGGCGAGTATACAGCCTACACGAGGTCTAACGAGGCAGCTTTATATGCTATTTAGTGCATATATCATCAATCGTGCCATTTCTAAAACAGGTTCCTCTTTGTTCTGTCAGGAGTTAATAGCCTTGGGATTGGGTAACATAGTTGGTGGAGCATTCAGAGGATTTGCGGGGAGTACCGCCCTCTCCAGATCAGCGATTCAGGAGAGCACAGGAGGCAAAACGCAGGTATTTCAAGATCTCTGCTGCAAGGGCCATCCTCACATTAGTAACCAGGAAATCCCAGCCGGGGGAAAAGTCGAGTTTGTGATGAGAATTTTTTTTATCTTTGCAGATCGCTGGGATTATCTCTGCTATCATTGTGCTGATCGTCATTGTGGGCATTGGGTTTCTTCTGGAGCCGCTGCAAAAGGTAACAGTCCCCTGTACTCGGATAACATTGCTCCTTTGGTGATGAATCAAGAACCCTGGTTCTTAAAACTCTGAAGGCACAGAGTAAACTAGAGGAAATGAGGAAACTGCAAACTCTCTGGTGTTTCTTCTTAAGCCAGTACTTTGGGGACCCCAACTATTTCTTTTCCCCTGGCAGCATGTGATAAATGTTAGGAATGCAGATGCCAAACTGGGCTTATCTACTCTGCTGTGTGTATGAGTGTGGCCCCGAATATAATTAATGTTGGAACAGGAAGGCCCCCTGGCTCTGCAGCTCCACGGGGATGGACTGAAGTGAAGGTTTGCTTACAAGTTCAGGTAGGCAGGACCTCTATCTAATTCACAGAGTGGTGCTACCAGCCACACAAATTCTTCTTAGGAATACACAGCTTCTAGAGCTCTGGTTTGGCTCTGAAACCAACAATGTCAGATTGCAGGATGGGGGTGAAGGGCTGCACTCGGACCTCCCATCCTTAACCCCACATTCCTCTGCCTGTAATTTTGAGGGGTTGGTGGGTTTTGGTTTTTTGTTTGTTTGTCTGTTTAAATACATTTATTTCAGGTTAATGTGAGGGTACAAACAACCTGGTCAAAATGTTTGATTTTGTTAGGTAGGAAGATTTGGCTTAGGGCTTTGGAAACTGCTGCAGCTCCCAGATTTAAAAAAAAAAAAAAAAAAAAGCCCTGGAAAATATAAGTTCTCTAGGAAACAAGAAGACGGTAAAACATTGTCCACTATGATTTTGATGTGATTGTCAGGGCACCTGGCAGTGCAACCGGAGTTGTGCTGACCTGCTTCTAGTCCTGACTCTGCTATTTATTATCTGTGTGTTTGGGGACAAATTACTCAACCTTTCTGAACCTCAGGGGCCCCATTCATAACAGAGGGAGAGAATAGTACCCGCCACACAGAGTGGCTTCGAAAATTAAATGACATAATGATGTGAAGAACTTAGCCAGGAGCCTGGCATATGATGAGTACTTGATAAATTAGTCATCATTGTTAATGTGGCTATTATCTAGGACATTTTTTCTTGTTGGTTTGTAGTCAGAATGTGAATTTGGCCCCAGGATTCTGGACACCTGGTGTGCTCATCCCAAAGAGCCTTACTGGCCAAATCTGTCTTCAAGCAGTGCAGAGTACTGTTTACCAAAAATGTGTTTCCGTGTGCTGAGCTACTGATTTCAAAATGAATGGCATGAAAGGAGTCAAGAAGTCACCACTAAAAAAAGAGAAGAATGTGTATCTCAATGAAAATAAACTCACACAACCCTTCCATACGGGAGAATTCTGCTCTACTGTGCTTTTCCCCAAGTGTACACATGGGCTCTATATAGCCCATATTGATTTGAAATTGCAGAAATAATTAACACAGAAATAATTATCATTTAAAATCCCCTCTCTTGGCTGGGAGCTGTGACTCATGACTGTAATCCTAGAACTCTGGGAGGCTGAGTTGGGAGGACTGCCTGAGCTCAGGAGTTTGAGTCTAGGCTGAGCAAGAGGAAGACTCCGTCTCTACTAAAAATAGAAAACTTAGCTGGGCATCGTGGCAGGCACCTGTAGTCCCAGCTACTCAGGAGTTGGAGGCAAGAAGATCACTTAAGCTCAGAGGCTTGAGTTGCTGTGAGCTATGATGCCATGGCACTCTACCCAGGGTGACAGAGTGAGAAATTGTCTCAAAAAAAACCTCTCTCCTGAATAAGCCACACTCCAGTACATTGTCTAAAACATTAATTCAAGGCCCTGCTATAAAGGATCACGTGATAAGTTCTTTTTAGGCCAGTGTGTCAGGGATGTCTTTGTTTCAGTTACTTTGCTTCTTTTATCACAGGAAGGCAAAATAATGCATAATAATAGCTAAAAATAAATATTTGTTGAGTGCTTATGAAGCATCAGCACAATTCTAAGCATTTTATATGTATTGACTCCTTATGTTCAATGCCGGATGGATACCAAGTTCCTGGGGAAATGACCTCCCTTTCCTTTCCATAGTTTCTCGATGCTCTGTAATTCCTACTTTAAAAAGTACTCTATTGTATATGTATCTCATTATAAATTATCTGAAATGGTTTTCCCATTGAGCACTGATCAAATAAGAAATAATGCCTAATTTTTAAAAAAATCTGTCTTTTCTGACAGCTGTCCCTTGTTATATTTTAAAAGTTCTGCAAAAAGGGGAGGCCTATTTTACAGAACCCTGTAAACCCTTCATTTGACAACCACAGTGGTGGCATCTTATGAAGCTGTAGTACAAAATCATGACCAGTCACCCACATTAGTACTCTCTGCTTAAGGAGATGGCAGACTTTATACAGTTTTCACCATTTTCTTAACTGTCATTCACTCGTGCGTCATTTCTTTTTTTCAAGTCACTTAAGGCTGTATTTCTTCTAAACATTTTACTCTTAGAGTAAAATGAATTGCCTTGATATAAAATTAGAAAAGTTACCTGTAAAACTTAAAGATATCCAGATTAGTTCAACTGTCTTCAGGATATGAAAATAAAAACTGTATTTGGCTTTTCTTGTACACTGTGCTTCCCTGGTATGAAAGTAGTCAGTGTGAGATGGTCGTACCCCTCCTGGTTGCCGGGAGGGCCATTGTTCCTACCGCTGTGTTAAAATCCAAAGAAGGAAGGAAGTGTACTTAGCTATTCAGCACTTTTCACCAAACTGTCCTAGTCCCCACAGGACAAATAATCTCATCCTGACATGTGGAGAATCTGAAGCCTGAAATGCCTGAAGCTTTACTAAGTTAGTAAACTTAGTAGAGCTAAGTTGAGAGCCCAGAGCACCCTTGGCGAATCCACCGTGGTAAAGCCTGTCACAGCTTCTTCGAAGAGGCTGTGTTCTGAGTGGTTGGCACCGGCTTGGGAAATATGCTTCCTTAGTTCATCCACTCATTCACTGGCTGATTATTCAGCCCCTCCTATATGCATTTGCCGTAGTAGATTCTGGGGAGATAGCAGTAACAAGACAGGTAGCCTTCAGGTTGTCCCAGAGTCCGACACAAGTCATTGTCAACCTTTTTGTGATCTTTAGCTTCCTCTTACAAAACTGAATGATTGCTAGTAATCATCAAAGGCTTGAGTTCTCACTCCAGGAACTTAAGCTCCCCAAGCTACTTTTTTTTTTTTTTTTTTT